ATGAGGGCGGAAGCCAGTAATGAGCAGCACAAAGATGTCAGTGTGCTGAGTCCTGTACAGCGAAACTTGCTTTGCAGAGAACTCGGATATGTAAAAATTAGTACAAAACTTTCATTTATCAAACTAACCTAAAATAACTGGAAATATTAACAATGTCGTACATTCATCTCGCGAGTGACTAAACAGTACAACTCATGCTCTGGTTCGCTTCGGATGATGGGGCATGTCCGCGATCGCTTTTGGCGCTGAGCCAACCTGTTTTTTTTTCGACAAACGACAGACTACCATATCGTTCGTATCAGACGTTTTCCAGCAGTTGGTCTCCCTCATCGGAATCAGCAATTGGCGGAGCACGAATCTGGCGGCGTCGACAGGGACACGCTCCATCATACGCAACGGAAAACACTGTAATAAGCAAGTGCACAGGTTCGCCATGGACCTCCCTGAATCCTATAGACACATTTGCTCGCGTGGACAGACATGCGCACAAGTTGCACCATCCCATCACCTCTGCGCGGACCTCAATGCGCGGCGCATCCAAAGTTAGCATGATTGAGCTAAACAAAACCACATCCTGCTCCTGCTCCACCACAGGATACGTTCTACATGTATTTCTGGTTATTCGAACACGCTCGCTTGAAACCGTACACAGAAAACGGACTTTCGAACAGTTCGGAGTGTTCCCTAAACTAATCCCACGCAATTATTTCATGACTCCCGGGAGCTTCAAAGAACGTTCAAACAGTTTTTGGAAAAAATCTTCTAGAACTCGACAGTGTTTTCAGATTCCAACTATTGAGGTCCAAGGGAAATATCTTGGTTCAAACCTGTAAAACTCGCGCTGCAAACTATCCAAAAAAACGGCCTAAAAACACCCAACGCAAATCCTCTCTATGAATTTGGCGACCTTTATGAAGATGTCAGTTATACTTTGGATTAAGATAAAATCTTTCTCTGATACTAGGACTGATCGTTTTCTTCTCTTTCCCACAGGTCCGCTATTAAGGAAGTTATGGCTCTTCAAAAACACCCTACTTTCCTGAAAATCGCTCCAATCAAACCACCTGCAACCACCTTGCGGCTGTGGATCCTGCCCAGAATCCCTCCCCCGGTCCCTCGGCCTTTAGTCAGCTGATTTCGGCTGGTTTGCTCTCGTTCGTATTTACTTTTCGTGATTATCTTCTTCTTGGTTTATTCGAATATCGAATATTTATCTTCTTCTAGTTTACTCGAATACACGTCAGAGCGCGCCCCAGCAATTTTGCTTGGACCGCTCAGAGTGCTCTTAGGAGGAATTGGCTTGCTTCCTGCTTTTTTATTTCTATTCTAATTGCAATTCATTCCAGGTACAAACGCGTTACGTTCGGGGGTGGTAATGTTATTGACTCGAGGAAGGGGGTGAAACCCTAATGACCTTTTTTTCTATTCTATTTTCTGAATTAGGATAGAAATGAGCAAAAAGCGAGGGGGCCTCATTCAGGATTGTTACTTTTTCCATTTTTCGCGCTTACTTATACATAAACTTATAAACAAGATCTTCTCCTCCGGCGGGCGAGGGAGGGAAGCAAACTTCATAAGTTCATTGTATAGGGGGGGAGGTCGCTACCAGAACCCCCAAAAAGGGGGGTCGTACGGGCTTCACCAAAATCCCCAACCGATGATGTGCCCTGGCGCATGGTCCTGTTATGAAACCCTGTGACGCCAGACGGACAGAGGGCAGCGGCTGCCAAAGCATCGAAACGTGCAAAAAGGTATGGCGAGCCAGAGAACGAGATTTTTCAAGGGGAGGGGACTCCGATGTGTGGGGTGCAACATAAAGCTGGAGTGAGGAAGAGAAGCCGCACCACGGCCGCCGCCCAGAGTGCCATGCCGGACGAGAGAGCTGCAGAGAAATAGAGAGAGATTGACGCCGTCTCAACCGGGAATCCCACGTTCAAGTTGTTCGTTAGACCCGACAGTGGTTCCCCCCTCCCTCCTCCCGGAAATACGTCTCAGGATTACCCTGTCAACCGCGCGCCTCAGGAAACTTGTCAACCGCGGAGCTTTCCTTCCCATTCCTTCTTTCTTCCTCCTTCCTTCTTTTCCTTCCTTCCTTCTCTCTTCCCTCCTCCTTTGCGTTCTCCTTCAACAGCTGGGCCAGCAGATGCCATGAAAAAATATCTCTGGACCCTCACAGCGAGAGCATGTCCGGTTAAAAACTGCTCTGTAACCGAATACGATACCCCACCCCTACTCCCGCTGTGTTCGTATAACGATAGTGCGCCTTGGTTGGGAATGCACCATGGTACTGTAGGTGCAATTGACTTAGTGCATTTACGGCGGCGCGCAATTGCATGGCTGGTCGTTTCCGATGCCTATCTAAACGAAGCCGAGGTAACCTCTTTGAAAGGATATCGCGCGCGCGCCTGTTTGAATCCTTTTCATTGGGGCGCTCGATTTTATGAGCCCCATACAACCGCCAGAGGTCGTTTCAAAAGGCTCATTCTACTAAGTAAGATGAACATTGTAGTACAGTATCGGAGTCATTCAGTGAATGATCAATAACTACTAAGCTATCGAGTAGCAATAAGGAAATCCCTTCAACTAAGGTAAATTCTTTTCATGGCTGGTGGTCTGAGAAAGCGGAATTCGAAGGGGAGATTGTGTGATTACGTTCCGAATAGGGCTTCTTACTGGTTTCACAAAGTCCTCTCAAGCAAATCTGGCCTACTGTGCAAAGTATTCGTATGATGGACTACTGTAACCAGTTCAAGAATGGCAGCAATTTGCGAATGTGCTGAATGAGAAATGGTACACAGAGATGACAAGGGAAGGGAACAATCAAAAATTTAGCATCGACAAGTAATTACGACATTAAGAAGAACTGACAAAAGCCAGGAGAAAGAAATCGGGCGCAGTTCGTGTCGCGCGTGAATGTTATTTACAGTGAAGGGAGCGTGCCGAAGTTCCTGAAAAGAACAACACCTCTATATCCGCCGTACTTCCACGGCAAGCCTATGAAGATTGAGTTCTGTCCCTATGTGGCGAAACGGAAGTTGCGGGACATGCCAGCTGGAAACGATGCAAACTACAAGTGTCCTAGGTCCTAACCGGCGCGAGATACATTCGATGACCATTGTCATAGGAAAACATACCAACATCTGAATAAAGCACTTCCGAACAGTTATCAAAAATCTTACTAATTCGCTGTTCGAAATAGTCGTCGCCTCCTTCACTAGACTGATGCGCTGAATCTATTCACCGTCAGCATCTCCATCCGCACTTATCAAGACAGTACAGATATGAAAGCGTTGAATGGGTACAGCCGCGTGCAGCAATAAAGTGGATTCAGCCGCATCAGTTTAGCGAAGGAGGCGACGACTTTTTCGAACAGCGAGAGGCGACGACTATGTACCAACAGCGAATTATCAGCTGATTTTGATAACATGCTTCGGAACTCAGCACTCCTGTGAAGCCACCCTCGAAGTCTTGCTTCCTGCTTTTTCAGTCTTTACTGATGTGGCAATTTAATGTCGATGCTGAATTAAGGATTGTTTCAAGTACCCTTCCCTTGTCGCATAGAGGTTACTCGGATCGCTAGTCGCATCATTCCTCATTTAAAAGCGAAGTTTTGTCGTTCTTAATTTGATTATGGTATTTTATCATACGAATAACCTTGGTTGTAAATACATCCAGATGTGCTTCAGGGAACTTTGTAGAAACCATAAGGATGCCTACTTGGATCGTAAGTCGCACTAGTCTTTCCCTGGATTTCTTCTAGGTCCATGACCATTATTAGATGACCCTGGTACGGTACTGCAATGGGAAAGATTTCGTCTCTGAACCAAGCTCGGACAGTTGAATAGTATAGAGCGCCCCAACGAAAAGGATTCAGACAGGCGCGCGCGCAAAATTTTTTGAAAGAGGTTACCTCGGCTTCGTTTAGAAAGCAACGTTCGTTTCGGCGTTTTCTTTGTGCTTTTTCTCTTGAGTTTCTCCTACATATCTGCGATATCAGAGTTGTAATGATTGTAAATTTCCTTGTTTATTTGAATAAAACCGTTTAGGGGTTAAAAACAGGGATGGAGATCGATCCCCGCAAGTTCTCTGGACCAACTTTCGAAGCATTGGTTGAGTTTTCAAAGAGGAATGACGACTCCTTGTTAAATGCGGTGCGTATTTTACATTTTTTCCTCAAACTTCGTTGAAGGTACGGGCGACGACATGTGAGGAGGATATTCTTCACGAGTTGCTCAATGTAACCGCCAGCGCTCACCTTCAGTCCGGGTCCACGAAGAAAATATCGGTCTTCCCATTCCAGACAGCGCCTTGGCCGACTGCGGTGAAGATGATGTCCTAGACCGTAGCGACGTTGTCGGAGCTGCTCGATGTTGGAGGTCTTCCAGATCGAGAGTACTGGTCTCCAGGTAGCTATCCATGGGTGACTCCATACTAGAAGTTTCGCAGCTGTTTGGAGGTGACATGAATTCCAAAGGTCTTCTCCAGTCAGGCGACTGGAGATGACTTCATATTTTGGTGTACATGAAGGTGATGGGCGAGAGCCAGCTCCTGCTTATCGAGGAACATCTTGGGTATCTTCCGCCCTGGTACTCGTATCCACGTCCTCTGTCTGGGCTGCGAAAACTTTGCTGATATGTGACTCGGTCGAAGTGACTTTTTTTGCCCCCCCCCTGTATAGACAGCAAAACTGCAACCTGCATTTCACAAGCAACTTATGAGCAGGTAAAGTTTGTAATGGTGCAGTAGGGTGGAGGCTTGGTGGTGAGCTGTGAAGCATAAGCGAGGAATCGCATCGTCGAACGTCGAACCTTACCACTGAACCACCACGACTCGATTCGACGTCGATTCGACGTATGCGATTCCTCGCTTATGCTTCACAGCTCACCACCAAGCCTCCACCCTACTGCACCATTACAAACTTTACCTGCTCATAAGTTGCTTGTGAAATGCAGGTTGCAGTTTTGCTATCTATATTTGTAAATACCTTATAGACTCTATCGATCTACCCAGGTCTCCATTCAAAGTTCCATGGTAAGTTGGCGGACTTCCCTCGGTTAGTCTTAATATTGACACGCACTTGTGTTCATCTCTTTGTATGCGTGTTGCAAGCGACCTGATTATGGGTTTTGTCATGACATAATAACCATCAGACCGTGTAATTTGGAAGCAAAATTTGTTGGAACTTCACAATTTCATTATCGCCTTTATTCAGGTATCAAATCGAACACCAGCGGAACTGGCTGCAATTGTAATTGGTATACCTGTATTTGAAGTGTATGCGGACCTCCCTGAATGTGAAATGGTCCGTAAACCTAACTTTCCCTTTTATGTACTTATTGCAACATGTTCTGTAATGTATCTACTCGAAGTTCAAACAGTCTAAAGTAAAACTCGCTGCTTACAGCTGCTGGAAGCAATGGAGAGATTGAAGCGAAAACAGAAAAGGGATATCGCAAGAATTACATGGTGGATGAATAAACACCTACCAACAATAAAGTAAGTCTTTTTCTATACTGACCCGAAGTTTCGTTGGCATCTCAGTGTGGGAACATGGGGAAGGCACCAAGAATTTTATTGCAAAAGACAATAAAGATCCAAAAAGAAACGAAGCTTTTGCAAAAGATATTTCCTCCTTCAAATATTAAGGTACTTGGTACCTTCCTCATTGTCAGCAATTACAAAAGTAGGCTATTATCGTGCTGCTTCTAACTGACCCAGCCTATGCTCTGGTGGGAAGAAGCTGTGACCCTTACGAGATCCTCGACCGAAATGTAGATCAGTGATCCATCCGTCTCCCTTCTTGGAAGAAGAGGGCCCCTAATCATGTTCGCGTATGATATCACTAACCATTCCAGTTATCATCTCAACTGCAGAGCTTCACGTGGCTTGTCCTTACTATTCATTTCGGGGGGACCCTCTCCCTTCCACTGCCTTCCCCCCTCCCCCCACAATAATTTTTACCACTGGGTTTTCTGTGAAGCGGTGTCACGCTGTTAACGGTAAGCACGGGAGTGGTTCGAGTGTGCGAGGGGGAGTCATGCATATTGGTGCTGTGGTTCTTTTTAATTGAAAGCTGCAAACTCGTTTATTTTTCTGAAATTAAACTTAACTTTCAACTTTTGTTTCTTCTTTCGCATATTCTATTTTTAGTATTCCCAAAGTGCAATCTTTTGTGGCGTCCGCTTTACAGTACACATACTCTTCACTCCTATATGCGTTGATGTCTTTCCATCCCGACCAAGACTCCAGTTTCTCAAAGGCATATTCTTCGAATACTCGCTAAGCTAAATCTCATCGGTTCATACATAGTGCTCAAACACAGAGAATGTTCGACGTTCAAGACTCAACAGTGAGCGACGAGGGCTCTGTGGTGGTAGAAGCTGTTATACCTATCTGGGAGATATGCGTGCGGTTTTATATATCTGCAAACGCTGGTGTGATGCGTTCATTTAGTTTGGGGCCGACCTGTCGTGTCTCTCGTCCTCAGTCTTAGGAAGTCTGTTATCCAAGAGTCTCCTTCCCACTTCCTTCTTCTACATCCTTCGTTTCTTCCTTCCTTCTCTCTTCATAGTCCCTTATTTTGCTTTCTTTAGATGCTCGGCCCGAGAATGCGATTAGGTATTTCGCAAGACCTCGCGAAATAGCTCTTCATAGTATAATAGTGAAAAGGCAGTAAACCTCACCTTAATCTCTGAATGTTAAAAGATTAAAATTCAAGTATCTTATTCGACATCATCCGCTTTTTTTTACTTTTTTGTCTTTTCTTCAAGGGGGAACCCGCTTTCGGAGGGGTCGTATTTAGCTGAATTTTATCACGCGGTGGTCTGCCCTGGAAGTGGACGCGTTCGTTAGATCGATATCCATACTTTCCTGGTCGCTGGCGCTAGCGTACGCGAAACGCTAGTGGACGCTCGTGGCCACTAGTAGACGCTAGTGCAAAGCATGAACACAGCATCACAGCATGCGGACTTTATGCGTCGTGTCATCTGTATGTATGGAGGAGAAGTTATGGTAGAAGCGTTATACTCATGTGCAGAAGACCGCGCTTGAAAAATTTTAAGAGAAGAGCGTATTTTTCGAGCCTTGTGGTGTGCATACTCCATTCATTATCTTGCGAATCCCATCAGAGGGAGAGGTCGTATTTTACCATGAGGGAGTTTTTTCTTCGATGATCGGTTTGCTCTCACATGCTCTTACTAGCGTCTCTATGTTTTCTGTCACCACCCTGGGAGTCGAGTTCTCGCTCGCAGTGCAGGGTTATGGGTCTGATATGGAGGTCACGAAAAAGTGGTTCAAAGTTCAGTTTTTACTGAACTTAAAAAAATCAAGCAATTATGCGGAGTTCCTGCAGATTAGAGAGAACATACTTTCTAACAATAGGACCGATTATTTGTGTTCAATTATCGCGTGTAAAAGAGCATATCTAAGCCTTTTTTCCTACCGGTAATTCATGGTTTAATTTAGCAGAGCAGTAGTAGTTTTTGGTTCAGTTGAGAATTCAACAACTTTACATGCATATGAGGTGTAATTGGCTCCCCCCCCCCTTTTGACGTTGATAGTGGGGAACAAATATCTTCCCTTTAAGAATTATATAGTCATGTCCACTGACGGGGGTTCTGGGGTATTTAGGGGGGGGGTGGACTTGACAGCGCCCAGTCCTTTTCCCACCAGTTATTGAAGCACGAAAGCACCAGCGATCGGTGTAAAACGGACTAGTGCCGCGCCATACCCAGCCCTTTTGACACACCCCAGCATCCGCAGCGAGGACTGTAGATACTAATGATCATAAACCATTTTTTCTTTGATTTTCCGCACATTAATTTCAGAGTATCACCAAACGGCAAGGAGTACATCATGAAAGCCATGGATATTAGAACATTCCTCAGTCGCTTTTGCAATGCACTACCGAAAGCTTTGTTCAAGGCGTTTATACCGCCAGTGAAAAACTTTCTCATCTCGAAACTGTGTCGCTTCACAAGAAATCAGAAGCTCTTCGATGAACCACCGCCGTTCCCGGCTGAGGATGCGTTGCGTGAGTTCTGACTTTCTAAAAAAACTTTTTACTACGATGGCAAACAAGTCACTTTTCGAGTTGTTGGAGTCCAGTGAAATATTTGATACAATACTGGATCATTGACTTTTTTATCATCTCTTCAGCTGCAATCGTTAATGCCATCGGACGAATGGAAGAACTGGAGAAAAATTTCCCGCATTTGGCTCGCTTGAAACTTGAAATGATTGCCAACATAACCCACTTCACACTCACTTACTGCTTGGACTGGGTTTGGTAATATTTTCGTCACTACTTTGTTGAATTTCTCTACACACCTCAACGAATAGCCTTTTGTTTAACGAACTCGTTTAGCGAAGTGCTCATATTGAGATGTGACAGCATTGGACGCGTCCAATACAGCTTCCCCATAATGGACGAAGAACCACCTCGAGTGAGCTTTTTGTAGTATATCTTGTGGGAAGTGGCGCCGCATGCCGCACGCGTGTCTGAGGGTCAAACCCCATCCAACTAAATTCTTAATTTCTAAATTACATTCTTAATTTTCTGAGGTATGGTAATTCGTACTAGATCCGTCTGTGAGATCAGAAACGCTTTCTTTCACATTGACCGGGCCACAAAAGAATCGTTCAGGCCAATCCATTCATATGCTATGAATTGGAATGCATTGCTTGTTAGATCGGAGGCTTTAATCATAAGTTGTTCGTTCTTCGAGAGCACGTCCGGTTCGTTCCCTTGTTATGACCTATATCATCCTCACTCGGGTATTAAAAAAGTCGAGGTACAAAAAAAGCATTACTACAAGCTTAGACGGCACAGTGGTCATTGTAAATGAGGGCGACTGCACCATCTCGAGGGTGTTCTACAATATCACCTTTTGGAGTTTAGGAATGGGTACAAAACATCACGGTCGATCTGAGTGAGGGTGAAGGAGCACCTGGAAGACAAGGATGCGTCACGTTCATCTGCTTGATTAGGGGCCCACAGGGTTCATATCCAGAAGCTTTGGAAGCTGAGACCGTGATGAGAATGGAGAATAGTCCGAACCGCTTCTAGTACTGGTTTGGTGGGCTCGAAGATCGGACTGTGTGCGGTGAGTGCCCCCTTCTACGATTAGGTGATGATCTGTAATGATCTCTTCACTAGGTGACGTAGTGGTGACGTCTGGTCGAGTAGCCATAAAATCCTGCAACTTCAATCCTTTCGGGCTCTAAATAAGGCGGTTCCGTTGAAACGTAAGCCAAAAAAGATGAATTGACAACTTCGTAAGCAGCCAAACAAGAAATCTTTTTACTATGTTGGGTCAAGTTAAACCAAGTTTTCAGAGAGCAGCGAGAGAAATAGTTTTTTAGGACCGCGGAAAGTATTTGTGGTAGAAATTTCGCATCCTCGTAGTTACTGCACCAGTCTGCCATCAAACCCGTTTTCTTTCTTTTTTCGTCAAGTCTTCATTCTTTATTTCTCAAGTCTTTTGAGAGTTTGTCTGTTTGGAAAGGGTGCACCATTTCACACAATATCGGTCACTTTTGAATCATATAACAAGCGACACTTCTGTCGAAAGGAAATGTCCAAGTCCGTTGAAAGAAGTAAAAGTGGTGCCTGACGGGAATCATTGTTATGAGAGCCTGGGGTTAACAGAAGCGGTTGCAATGCGTGCCTGAATATTCCTCCAAATATAAGGTCAGTCAAATATTTCGGTCGAATTGCTCATTCGTCTTTTCAATCAGTGTTCTGCTTTTATGTAGTGAAAATCTCCTCGTTATGCTTATCTTAATTGTAAATCTGCAGCTGCAGTGCTGAGCAAAACCGTTGTTCGGCTAGTTTTGCTCCATGAGTTCAAAGTTATGCATACTGCCCCTGCGGGACTCTCGAATCTGAGTAAAGCTTGGGGTGATGTCACTGGATCTGACCGCACCGGGCTTCTATGTTTCAAGAAGTTTCGAAGTCGGAAAACTCACAGGAAGCTGAGCCGCATGCTGAGCAGCTCCCTGGCAATGATTGTGTTGACTCTGAAACGACGATTTTTTTGCAGACAGAATTTCATAAAAGATGTTAGCACGCTTTTAGGCATGACTTTTTGACGCTCGATCAATGTCACTTGAACTGCGCTTTATACTCTATTTCGGTTCGGAGTTGTTGTAGGCCTTGAATGCGAAATTACGAGAGGCGCCAATTGTGTTCAAATCAGTGTTTTTGCTCCCAGACATATCCGGAGTCAAAATAGCAGAGCGTTTAGAACAAAGTCCTCTCTGAACGAAATTTTTTTTGGCTAAGAGCCATGGTACCAAAATTAGTGCGTTGAGGCAGGATGTATTCCGTCCCTCGTCACCTTCCCTTGAACGGAGCGCACACCTTTCGCTCTACGCCAGCCCAACTTCTTAATGACGGTGGGGTGGAATGACAGGAAGCTACCAAGTTTAGTCTAGACCTTTGTGCCATGTATAGGAAGAATGCCGTAGTCCGGGGGCTACTGTTGATAATTTCTTAGG